CCATTATCTTATTTTCTTCTCCTTTCCTGGGACACGTCATTGACAGAGCCATTTCTGCCACTATCTTTTTGAACTCTGCCTGTTTTTCTTTCCAATAGGAAGTACCTTCATTGTTTTAATGTATCATTCCTGTTCATCTCACAGACTGACTTCTCCCAGTTAAAGGGGAGCTTTTTCTGTCCGCTGTCACCACATGCTTGCTCAGGATGGGGAATTGCTGCAAAGTAAACAACTCACTGTAATCAAATGGGCTCTTTCTTTTGAACGTCACGTGATCAACTGGATGTTATAATTGAGTTGGACTGAACTTTATGGCACTGAATTAACATTTTATGATTGATTGATTGATTGACTGATTTCAGTCGAGTTTGAACTGAAGTCTAAAATGTTGTACCTTATCTAGACCAATCTCCTGTTGTTCTAAACTGGATTCATACAAATTAGGAATGTAACCATCTGGAAATTTGGACAGATTTCAATACGCAGTATTAATCTTGCTATACCAATAATCAATACTATACATATTTCACTACCACTGTCACACGTTCCAAGAAAACTACATGCCACTCCTCCTACCAAACACAAATGTCAGCAAGATCAAAATAAATATCAGTTCATGATATTGGTCCAGTTATACGAATCGGACCTATACGGACAGGTTAAAAAAGAATTACTCACATCCTCTGATACCAATGTTAATGCATTGTCTGTTTATAATATAAATAAATACATTTTGTAACAATTTACTGAAAATGCCTTGCTGTTCATTCTGAATCATATGTCATTTTTTTTACAAGACAATTACCATGTAGCTTGTACCACACCAAATATCGTGTGCTTTACAACATAATCAACCGAGTGATACATGAAGGCTGCAACATCGCTATCAAAAAGAACCATCTGGAATGCAATATTTGTTGAATAAAGCATGCCAAATGTCATAGCTGACATTTACGCAGCAAACAAATATCCAACTTTTTCATGGCGGTCTGAAAGGACTCCAATCTTTTCACCCAAAAAAACATCAGCGTGTCCAATGCTTTTCAAAGCGTCTGCAGTCAGAACGGTCAGGTCGCATTTTATCCAACTTTTTCGTCTTTGACATGAGACATGCGCGAACGTGATGAATCCAAACAAACAGTGGCTGAAGCAGGCGGTTCGACAGCTTTAAAAATCGATCTGTAGACGGTGGTATCCATTATTACTTCTGTAAACGGTGCACTGCTGTGTGACGTCTATGTTTTTCTTTTGCACATGCATGTCGTGGACGTTTGAGCAGAACTCTTATTTAAAAGTATTATAAACAACCACACAAAGCATAAAAATAAAAAAATTGGATTTCAAGGGGAAAAAAAGGAAACTGAACATCAAAACCTGCTGTGAGACCACAGACAAAGTTCCACATTTTGCAAGCCTTGTGATCAAAGTAAAAGTGTTTATGCCAGCTGACCAGTTCCCCACAGAAACACCAGACACATACATATATAGTGACATAACTGGAAGCTGCTTAGATGATGACATCAGATTTGCTTTCTTTAATTCACAGAGCTCCGATGTACAGCCTATCAAATAAATCACAGGCTTGTTTTTCGTGAATGCTGTAGATATAATCTCCTGACATCTTTCCAGATGTTACAAAAAGCTAAACGATCCCTCCGTAGCTGTTATTGTTAAATAAAATACAGAAATCACTCAATCGCATTCAGAAGTGTAAAGCAGATTTCTTTAAGCACCCAGCTGTCCAACAGAAACTCAGTCAGATCTGACTTCCTTCCCCTCATTTCTATCAGCCAACATCAGAATCCAGAAGCTGCTCCTCCCTGATGGGAATCTGGGTTGCAGGAGAACCAGGTTCCCTCCATCGGATGCCTCCTCTGCTACATGGATGTGAGTGGATGGGTAGGCCTACATCCCCATTAATGCAGCACTGAGCCACTCCGGCGAATGGCCTGCTGGGCAATGGTGTGCACAAATGCGCAATGAAACACCGCCCACCCAATGGCGAACAAGTCGGTCAGCGTGGTAAAGGCCTGTCATGCACGGATGGGGTTGGCCCGATCAGCCCAACGCCAAGCATGGTCTGTGAAGGGGATATTTAACTGGGGCGTGGATGAGAGAAGCAGCGAGAGGGGTGGGGGGCGTCGGGAATGAGGAACTCCTAATGGAATAAAAATAAACTAAATAGTATGTATTTCTCCTTACTGTTTGCATCGCTGAATGCATAAAATAATACGGGATGGAAGAGAAGCAGCTGAGAGGCCAAAACGCTATCAGAGAGATAATCCAGGCCAGACCGCTCCGGTCCCAGAGGAAGGAGCGGGCGGGCGGGGGTGAAGGTGGGGGGCATGGTCGGCTATAATAAACGTTTTCCTGAGACTGGGAGAGGAAAAAATACATAGCTGCATGTTTGTGCTTCAGTTTCCGCCGGTTTGTTCTCAGCTGAGACACTGTGACACACATACACACACTGATGGAGGCTTTCACCAACCTTATACACTTGTCCATAGGTGCCATTTCCCACTACTTCCACCAACTCGAAAATCCCAGCTGGATCCTGGACATTAAAACACACAAAAAGAGGGGGGCGTTTAATTGATCTCGTGCTCGTAATTGCATTCAGGTTCGTTTGGTGTATAAAGCCGGCAGCGCCCGGCTCGCCTCTCCTGCCAGCGGATATTAGACAAAGAAAAGCCACCGCGGGGCTGTGTCACTACGGTGCAGCACATTTATTTTCTTTATTTAAAAACACAACGACTGCGAAGAAAGATGCGAGCGCGAGGCAAACTCACCCTCAATGATGCCAGGTCTATATCCACCAGGCTCTTAGCCGGAGAGTCGTTCGCCATTTTCGCAAAAAGAAGAAAAGAAACGGTGATAAATCAGAGGAATAACGGCGTGTTTTGGTTTCCTTCAAGTGGATGAATTGTGTCTCATCCTCGTCACGTTTCGTATTAAATGCCACGGCAGTTTTAGTCTACTCAAAGCGTTTTCCTCTGCTTCTGTAGTCCCAGACAGCTCCCTCCGCTGCTACATACCGACCGTAGAGCCTGCGCTGCTGACGGCCTGCCGGACTCGGAGTCCTGCCTGTCCTGCCCTCCCTCTCTCCGTTTGTGTGCAGGTCTCTCTACCGGGATTCTCCGCCCTCTCTCCCTCCCATTCGGTCCATAAGTCTCTCTGTCCCTCTGTCTTCCATCGCCGCCCCAAACAGGGACAGTCCAAGATTTGTGGAAGCCCAGAGAGAGAGAAACAGAAAATGATCTCTCTGCCAGAGCCGACCCAAAATTGTGTGGGAGCCGGAGCAAAATTTGATTTGGGGGCTCTGCAGCTACCGTAGATTAATTCATATCACCTTTAAATGAGCTATATCTAAACTATTATTATTATTATTATTATTAATTATTATTATTATTATTATTGTTGTTGTTGTTAAATCTTTTCATTTTATATTAAATAATAATAATAATAATGATCATGTTAATATTGATAACAACAATGGCTTTCTATTACTCTGCACTTCCTATTAATTATTATTTTCCATGTTGAACTTTAATTTATACCGAAAACTTTTATTGGTGATGTTGACCTACTATTATTTTAAACACAACTGTACATAGTGACAGTTTCACGCATGTTCTTTTTATACCTGACAAGAAATGCTTTAAATAGGCCTATATCATGTTGAGAAGCAAGATAAATAAAGCTGCACTGCTGCCTGTCTTGCATCCCAGGTACACAAAGCGTCGTTAAGGCAGATCCTTTCTCTCCCACCAGCTGTTACACTTTACAACCATCACTGCTCCCAAAAAAACAAGTTATTTGTTACAGAACAATATTCACCTTGTTAGTTTTATGGACAGGCTGCTAGATGTGTTGTGTTCTGTGCAGTGACTAACTGTCCTACTTTCCCACACCCACATCGCTAAAAGAAGAAGAAGAAGGGGGGGAAGACAGACAAACCTTTTTCCCGGCAGGATAAAAAGTTATTTCAGTCAAATTGCAGAAGTAGTGCTGGTGAAAACGACAGAACTAAATGTGGACTCGTCTCACCAAAGCAGATGTTTCAGCTGCCGCAGTGATGCTATTGACATTACAGCACCTATATAAAGCATTTGTATTCATCCCTTTTCACTTTGATAAATCTATACTGGAGTGAAAATATGTTTTCTTTTCATTTTTTGCATGTTTTTCACACTTAGGTTTTACAGAACATCAAACCATTTTGAATATTAGTCACATACAACACGCAAAAAGCAGTTTTTAAATGACGATGTTTATCTTTATCGGATAAAAAAATCAACTACAACAATCAAACATCTGTGGAGGAATTTTGACCAGTTTTGTTGTCAAAATCAAGTATCTTGCCCGACAGAAGTTAATGGATTGTGTATGAAGACAATAAAAAATTATTTTGCTACTTGTTTGGGTGAGGTCCTTGAAATGGTTGTAGCATAAAGACACTGTGTGCAGCTTGCTGCTTTTATGTGCTATCATTAGTTGGAATATGTTTAGGATTTCAGGCTGGACAGACGTCTTAATTACAGAGTGTGCTCTAAACCTATAAACTCACACACAGCTAATGTTAGCTGGCTCAGTCAGGAACAACATTTAACGTTAGCATTTGAAAGTTAGCTTCAACGCTTTTTAACTTTTTCTAAATTTAGAACATTTAATTTATTTTTGAATATAGTAAAAAGTGTTGTTTTTTTTTTTCTAATAACAGCATTGACCAGTGCTCAGGCTCTAAAGTACTCACCGTCCACTCAAGTCGTGCCACCAGTTAGCAAACACTGCCCTCTTGCGTGGAAGACCGGAACAAGAGTAGCGGAAGTAAAAGTCTAAAGGTCACCTAGCAACAGAGTCGCGGTACGGATTAGGTCAGCACTCATTTACCAGATAATCTCAGGAGAATTTGATCCAGAAATAATATTCCTATAATACTTTCTGAAATTGTTCGTCTGCTTTTCAGGAGCTAACATCCAAAAGACAAACACAGGATTTGATGGAGTTTCTTTTATTTGCAATAAAAAATAGGTACAAGAGCTCCCTTTACAAATATACTAGAGAATCACAGCACGCTGTGAAAACCGCAGGAGACTCAAACTTCTTGAACAGAATAACATAGAGAAATAATGCACACTAATAATGCAACTACCTCGCGAGCTGGATCAGCCTTAGCACATGCCACTTGATAGGTATATTGCAGTTTCTAAAGTTTCTTATTTAAAACCCCACCAGTCTGCAAATTTAACACCGTATTGCTTACGTAAGCCAGGAACCTTCTTGTTTCCCCCAATTTACGAGTAAATATGTTACTGCTAATTTCTTATGAGTGGAAGAGTTTCAGACTGTAGGCACAAACCCCAATAGTATTCCTTGTGCGTGCAAATACAACTGGCTCATGATGAATATGTCCACATGGTACCATTTATCAAAATGTCACGCAAACTCAATTAAAACATCCCCAGCGGGATGTTTGGACGTGTTGATCCACGCAAATTCAACTTGGACCCCATTCTGCATATATACGGGCTTTTGCTGGCGAGTGAAAGTTTACAAAATCAGTTAAAATTAAGGTGCTGATGTGTTTCGCAAAAAGATCTCTGCAGCTTTACTTTGAACTGAATCTTTATGCTTTTATTGTTGTTGCTTTCATCAATGTGTAAGAGGCTGTGTAAATTGCATGACTGAAAAAAAGGAATAATCTCTGCTTCTTCAATTTAAAAAAACAAAAAAAAAAGATGCATCTTAGACTTACACATAAGATAAAAACTAAGGTAGTAATTGGGCCATAATGGTGACTTTTATTTATTTTTTGTTCACAGCAAATGTCTGAAGAAGCAAAAAATTAAAATTATAAATAAAAAAAAACAGTTTTCAAGGTTGCTTAAATATAAATAAGTCTTATTGTTTATACGGAAACCCCCGTGGGGTGGGAATTGCATTATTATTGTGTGCAAGGTAATATTACAAACAGTAAAAGAGAAAGAAGACAATGAAGTTGTTCCTTGAATACATTAAAAAGGCCTCTGAATTACATTGATATACATACAATTCACCCAAATTATACACACCGACACCCAGCTACAGGCAGAGCAGAGAGACACAAACAGAAGAGTACACTTACAACCTAAACCTACGTCTGTTTTGTCCCGGCGGTCTGCTACAATAGGACACAACGTGCCACATCGGCAACATCTGGATGAGTTTCTATCAGTCTGTCCGTTAATGCAACCAGAGTTTGTGCGCTTCACCGCAGCGCAAGTTCTTCAATCTGTTCAAGCCAGGATAAAACACGCATTTGCACGCTGTAGTCTAAAGTTTGTACTTTAACATGAGCTGGATCACATCCTCGCCCACGACAGCTGCCATGATAAGAGACGCACCGAGAAATTGCCTGGCGAACGAATTGGTAGATTTTTATTATTTCTTTTTAATCTTATTGCTCCTGGCTGGCAGGAAACTCAGAAATCTGTTATTTTTTTCCGATCTCTGAACGCACCTTGCATAAAGCCCTACATACCAGGTAGCGCTACCGTCAACGCTCTTTGGTGTGGACGTCGTCACAGAGGGAAGAAGTCTCAAGTAGTTAGCAGTAAAGTAAAAAAAAAAAAGAAAAACTAAATTTAGTCAAATACGTCAGAAAATATTTAAGATTCTATGACAGAGTCTCATCTTTGGTTCAATAATTTTCAATAAAATAAAATTGGAGCATTGAAAGGCGTATCGTGACCTCATAACACCTGACAGCATCAGTTAAATTTAAAAATAAAAAAAATTAAAAAATCGGTACCGGCCAAAATCATGATCGGTGCACCAATAGTTTCATTGTTCAGAGCTTTTACCCTCCAGCTTGAAACAGGCTGGATTTGGAATACATTTTGGAAATCTTGTTTCCAGGCAACTGCACACACTTTCTCTTCCTCACACTCACACACAGTGTAAAGCTGCCTCCTGCTCACATAGCAAGGCAAGAAAAAAGTATTTTTAATGCTGTTAGTTCTGTATCCGAGTCTGTAAAAATAGTATAAGAAGTTTTGCCAAAAGTGGAAATTGGGTACAAAATTTGGCTCGGTGCGTCTCTCGTCATGACATCGTCCTCAGCTACACACCAAACGCCTAGCCTGGTTTTGGCTCGGTCAGGAATACTTAAAGTGAGGCAGCAGTTGCTAGTTCTTCTACAAGGAAATTTGTCGAACGTATTTCGGTAAAGTTAGTAAGGCAAAGGGGGTGAGGGGGAGGAGAAACGGAAAGGGAAGAAAACGTTCAGTACATTCATTATATACGTCGCTATGCAAAAAAAAATCTTATGTTTTTGCACAATTTTTCAGCAGATTTCTGTAGTGGACCGTCTCCTGCTTCCCTCTCTGGTGAATACTGCTTAGTGTGCGGCAGGAGGGGAGTTGTTATTCATCCTGATGCCACTTTGCTTTCTGCAAGTTGTTCCTTCAATGAAAAAGTCTGCCACATCTTTACAAAACGATGTGATGATGATGATGACTCAAGTTTCTTTTGTTTCCCCTCAACCGACCTGATGCCATCAGCAGAGAGATGTGCTCTGAAGGGCTACATGTTCATCAACATCTCAGAGTGGACCGACATGGGACTAAAAGGAGCGAACCGAAACGTAAACGGGTGGAGTCAAGAAGGCGTGAAGGGAAATCAGACTTCTGAACTGCATAGACGCTCGAGCTGGTCGACACGAGGCCGAATCACCGCGGCCTCTTGCGGGTGACAAAGATGAGGACCCTTCGGATGGCGATGAGGCGGTCCTTGAGGGAGTTCATGGCCAGGATGGTGAGCTGGGCTCGGTTCTCCAGCGGAAGGACGGCGAGCAGCCACCAGCACCAGGCCGGGCCTTCAGGAACCGCCTGCAAGGGGAACAAAACCAAACACAGACACTGGTAAATACCGGGGACGCACCGATTCGCTTCCGATACCGATAATTGAGGTTCAGTATCGGCTGATTCGATACTGAAAACCAGTGCTGTGCTGACCTGTGGGTCCAGATCTTTACTGGGAAGATGTCCAAAGTGGCTGAGGATCTGACTCTTCATGTTGTCCTTCAGCGACGTGAACCAGTTGTTGGCCTGATCGTACACGGAGTCGTGCAGCTTCAGGAGCTCCACCAGCTCCTCCCCCTCAACCTGATTATAAAGACAGTTTTTAATTTCATATAGAACAGAAGAAACATCACTTGGACAATTGCTGATTAAAAAATAAAAAAGTGGATTCATTTAAACATAAACCGATCTACCGATCATCTAAAAAGGCTACAGTGCGCGTTTTCTTGACCTCAAAAAAAAAATTCTATTGAAATTTTGAAGTGTGAGATCAGAATTACTGCAGAAATGATCAGAGCTCACCTTCCTGTCCTCCAGGTACTCTATCTTAGCGGTGTTGTAGCCGTCTCTCTGTCCGTGGCTGAGGACCTTGAACCGCGAAACTCCGATAGTGTCGACCACCGAGCGGCCGTCGGGAAAGAACTTGACATCACGCACCTGCAAAACAATCCAACCAATCAGGTCTGCGTTGCGTGAAGTATGAGGAGAATCTGCAAAAATGAATGGGATTTTAAAGGTGGACTTTTCTGGAAAAGCTCTGGTCACCAACCTCCAGCATGCAGCCGTAGTCGGCAAAGCCTTTGAGCTCGTCGGCGATGCACATGCCAAACTGCTTGGTGCCCGTCTCCATGGAGCGGCGAATCATGAGGCGGTAGCGCGGCTCAAAGACGTGAAGCGGGCAGGGGATGGTGGGGAAGGCCATGGTGCACACGAAGATGGGCACTTCCTGGTTCAAACTGCAAAACACACACAGTATAAATAATTACCACTGAATGCAGATTTTTTTTTTTTTTCTTGTAGTTCCAAAAGGTTTAGAAATGTTGTAAAGGCTCCATTTAAAACCAAAGAGAGTTGCAAAGAATAGGCAACTATGCAAGTTTATTGTTAGGGAGCTCAAGTAGCTTGAAAAAGAAAATGAAGAAAAAGAGTTGCTAATATTCTTTCTTTGTAATTTCTGGAAGGAGGAATGTTGTTTACTAATTGGAAAGTTTGCAACTGATAGCCAGTGTGTGCTTTGGTTGCCAGGATACAATGCTTGGATCAATACCAACACAAAGACAAAGAATGATCATCTTTAAACTTTAACATTTTTTCCTTCAAACTATTGTTCTCAAATTGAATTAACTACATATATTAACCCTTTGATGCTTTCAGGTGTTTGTGATTTGTGGGAAACTAACTTTGACAGCTCCTTCATTTCTTCCTCATGGATTTTCTTCCGTTCAGCCAGTTCGTCTCCAAGGTAACGCTGTAGGACTTCCTCCATCAGAAAGGTCTTTTTGTAACGTCTGCTAGCGAGAAACTGTAACAAAATACAGAGAACGAGTTACTACTTTAGTTCATTCCCTTAGACAGGACGGCTGCAAAGGCTTTATGAAAGAACGTCTTTACAGAATTCTGAATGTCAAACTCAAAATACTGAGGTTCACTAGAGATGTGAGTGAGAAGGAAGGAAGAAAACGAGAAAAATAAAACAAAGAGAAAGGAGAGAAGAGGGAGACAAAAAAGAAAAAACAAAAAAGAGGAAAGGAATGACAAATAAGCAAGAGTGAAAGAAGAACGAAAAATATAAAACAAAAAAAGTCAAAAGAAAAAAGATGGAAAGAAGAAAAGAGAAAAAAGGGCAAAAAAGAACAAAAAAAAGCAAAAGACTGAAAGAAAGAAAAGAGAAAGAAATAAAAAGTGAAAGAGCAAAAGAAAAAATGACCAAAGAACAGAGCAAAGAAAAAGCAAAACTATGAAAAAGTAAATAAAAAGGAGGAGGAAAGAAAGAAACAAACAAAAAACAAAAAGTAAAAAAACAAAAAGAGAAATTAGTTCTGAAAGATGTGGAATTTTCCCGAGCTGCACAGAACCGTATCTGTAGCTGATGCCAGTTTTCCGTTCAGCTCTCTGCAGCGTAGCTCAGCTGTGTACCTCAGACAGATTCTCCTTGCACAGAGGGCAGTTGGGGTTGTGGTCCAAACAGCGCTCCAGACATTTGAGGCAGAAGGTGTGACCACAGGGAGTAGCCACAGGCTCATAGAACAATCTGAAGAATAAAAAAAGAAAAGCAAACAGTTAACCTTCAACACTGTCCACTCTGTTTGCCTGTTTGAAGCTATAAAATCTTTGCATATTATTGTTAAATTTGAAGCATGTGATGAAAAGTAAACTGTATTAACCTCATGCAGAGTGAGCACTCCAGGTCTCCACTGTCCAGTAAATCAACAGGAACCACTCTGCCTCCGCAAACTGAAGCCGTCTGAAACGCCTTTACATCATCTGGAGAAAAACAAAAATAATAGTTTTTAAAGACAACATGTCCTCTGGTGTTGAAGTGCATCATAATACATGTGCAACAGTTTTTCATAGCATTGCTCCTGCTTGGTTCTCTAAAATGTGAAGCGTTTTCTCCACTTATTTACATTCAAGCTTAAGCTGTTGGATCTGACAAAAGGAAACGCGTTACTGCACATTTAAAATGCAGCACGTTTTATCTGAAAATCCAATGAATGCAGTTCATGTAAGAAACCACAAGAGGGCGCTCCAACATAACAGTATCTCTGTTTTTTGGGGGGCTTGTTTACAGATTGAGATGATCAAGCTGTACAAAATGACACATCTAAAACCACCTGCTTGCATCATTATGTCACTGTCAATATATTACTTGGAACTGGTCTCAAAACATAACCATTTATCACTCAGTAAAACTTGTATTGGTGACAGGCCTCTGTCAGATTGTTATGGGATTTTCTCCTACCGGGTTTGGAGAGCTTGGACGGAGGGTTGAACGGCGCGGCGGCTCCATCACCGCTGTGCTTCCTTTTCAGGCCACCGTGGGGCGCTGGCAGTGAAGCCAAAACATTGGCCAGACTTTTGGAGCTGCCTTCCTCTGCAGCCAGGTCCGACTTAGCGGGAGACATTGGAGAAAGCTCGGAAGATGGTCCGTCCATGGGGGGGCTTTTTGCTACGCTGAACTCTGAATCCTGCAAATTAGACAGAATGAGAAGCTGCAGAGTGAGTTTAAGGGTCCTCGTGTCAAACTGAGATATAAATGTGCAGAATTTTAAAAGAAACTGCAGGGGGTGAAACGGAAACGTGTCGACTGCTGCTGCACTGTGTGCACATTTACCTGTGAGGAGCAGTCCGTTTTCTGCGTCAGCGGCCTCAGCGACTGGAGCAGGGCGGGGGGTTTGATCAGGTGGGTGGCCAGCCCGCCCTGCAGGGGGTGCAGCGGAGTGGGCATGTCCTCGTTCTCGAACACGGAGGAGAACACCGCGCTGAGCACCTGCGGACAAAACCGGAGAGACTCAATCGGTTACGTGGGATGAGGCGAACGGCGACCAGCTGCTTTGTTGCCATTGAGTCGTCTGTCTGACCTTCTGAGCCTCCAGCTTCACTTTGGTCCAGTCCGGCTTCAGCGCCAGACACAGGAAGTATTCCTGCAAGGCCTCGTCGTTCCGGTCGGCTTTACTCAGCGCCGTGGCTTTAAGGCAGTGAGCCTGAAACGCACAGGAAAAATTCAGCAACTGCAACACGGTATTCCCACCGAACTCATCATTTCAAACAATCAAAGGCCGACTGACCTCACTTCACTAAATCTACTGCGATTTCTAACTAGCCGTTAGCAAACGCTCTGCTAGACATGCAATTGTTCCTTTCATCTTAAAACAGGAAAACCCATTTAAGGCATATATTTGAAAAATAAAAACTGTTTGACCTGAATTAATTTGAAATATCTAAAGTTCCAGATATACAGATGAAACAAATAAATTATACATTATTAATCGATTACTGAAATAATGGTTATTTGAGATTTGACAGAAGTTAACCAAAGCTGAGGAATATTGGCTCTAGTTTAAAAAAAAAAACTGAAATAGATCTAGTAGCAAATTTGCTAAAATAAATATAATCTAAAAATCTGTGTACAATAACGTAACAAAGTCAGAAACTAAAATTTTTCCAAATTTTGCTCTTTCATACCTGGAAAAAAAGCTCTTTATGCATCCAACTGAGTCATCTACATTAATTACAAAACGGAAACTCACCTTTGTCCACAGCGGTTTTAACCTGCACAGACTGTTGGCATCCTGCACCGCCTGGTTGAAGTTCCTCATCTCCATGTGCAGTTCAGCTCGTTGACATAGCAGTCTGCCTGAAGAGGGCGCTGTAGACACAGAAATAAAAATAAAAAATAAACCCACAGAGCAATGTCAGACAGTCTTCCATGGGATAAACCTTTTTTTCTAGGTCAGACAAGTGAGGCAATAAAGCAACAAAGTGGAGCGTCACCAGCTTGGGACATTGTGTGCAGACCATTACAATATCTGAGTCAAAGGAAATGACATTCGCCCTGGTTTAAAAAAAAAAAAAAAAAAAAATAGAATAAAATCAACCTAATATTATGTAGGATCAAACAGATTATGGTACCACTTTAAGAGCTGAATTCAAAAAGATTTAACATTTCTGTTGCTAACTACCTGTGACTGACAGGTACTTCTAAAACCAGAATAGCTGGTGAATGACTGGCTCGGCCTGTAGTGACTCTGCTGAATTAGTTTATGACGCGTGCAGACGGACGAATTCACGTGTCCCAAATAAAAAGTGGCTGCACGCGTTTTGGAACAACAAACAACGTCTGATTGATACGTGCCGACTGTACTTCCTCTTTTACACGGCTGAAAGCAGAGAGGCTACGTACCAGCACGCATAAAAGCTTCCTTCAAAGTCAGAAGCTCACACTTCTCTTTAGTGTTGGATTCATTCAGTTGCCCCAGTTTGAACTGTGTGACTTGTGTCAATGTTTTGGGTGTTCTTTGACAAACATCTCAATGATTTCCAGGAATTTTGGCCCTTTTTTTTTTTTTCCCCCCAAACACAACTGGTGTGAGTGAGTCAGGCTTAGAGGCCGCCTTGCAGTCAAACACCTTATTTTACCTCTGCCAATGAATTTGGGACAAAGGTCAAAGCTTTGGTGGCCTCTAAAAACCGCCGACTTGTTTTCCTTGTATTGGTCATTTTGTAGCCAATTAGCTAACCTTGTCAGCGTTTAGCTTTCTATCTGACGTCTTCAGATGTTGCTTCAAGATTTCCGCATAATGGACTTTCCGCATTAATTATATGAAGCGCACTAGTCCCTCGTGCAGCAAAACCCCTACAACAGAAGTGTAATAGCCAAATGCCAAATAGTCTTTTGCTCTGTGAGCGGCCTTTCATGTCGGTACAGGACTCCTTCCACCACATTTTCTTAGATTCTTTCCAATATAATCTAAATGCATCATAATCCTAGTATACGTCTGGCTTTCCACAGGGTAATAAAAGGAAACTCTTACGACTCTTGCATTTAGCAAATATAAATAATTCTAGCCATCCTAACAGGAAAGCGTTTAATCTAATTTAGCATCAGAAAGCAAAGGAAACAAGTAAGAGTATTTTTGTATTGTACAGTTAAACTCCAAAATACTTTTAATAGTATTTTAGAACAGCCTAGCCAAAACTCTGCGAATCTTTTTGGAGGGAGCCGAAGATTAAATCTGCAACAAAGTTATAGGCTGAATAAAAAAAATTATTTAAAATCGAAATCTTACGAGGCTTATGAATAATTTTATACTGAAGAGTATGTTAAATTAGATTCTAGAATTACAATTTTAGTGAGTGGTTTTATCTGCGAAACCAAGTGTAGTGTAGTGTATTTTGTTCCATTTATAATTTTTATTTAGAGATTTGCAGACTTATTATGGAGTCAAACGTTGGCACGTCTAAAATGCATTTATTTTCTTCATAAAAATAAAAAAAATCAGATTAACAGGAAAGTGTTGAACACATCCTGTTGTTACCATCCACTGAATGGAATCAAAATAGTGACAACTTCCCAAAAATAATTGTACAACATTGTTTTAGTGATGAAATTATTTTTTTTATGAAACTCAGCCTACGTTAAAAAGCCCGTTTTGGCATCTCACCAATTAGAGGAAGTATAAAACAATAATTTCTAGTCTTGGGTAAGATCTGTATTTGCATTTATGACACAGGTCCAGCTGTGCTACGTGAGAAGGCCTCCTGCTGTCTGTTCTGGGGAAAACAGAGGCTTGAGGTGACAACGCTTCCTTCTGTCATCCAAAGCAGACAGAAGGGAATTAGTCAATATTGATATGCAAACTAAAATATCTACATCCCTGCCACCGGGATTCTCAAATAGCTCCGATTTTAGGCTTCAGCCAATCACTCTCCAACAACCGAGGCTAGCATAAGATGGCCGCCGCTGGAAACGCAGATCATGGATTCTAGTGTAACCTAGATATTCAGCCAAGAGTTGCTCAGAGCGGAACGCATCGCGTTACAATTGTGACCCAGTGTCAAGTTCAATGATCAGATGGCACAGATCAGCAGAGTCCAGCCATACGTTGGTGGTGTAAAAACACAAGCTTTATCTTGCCGACATGTCAAGTTCAGTTTGGTTTGCTTGTTGTTCTATTGTGCGATTCCTTTTTATTAATAGTATGGCAGTTTTAGGTTTCCTTAACATGGCAGCGGCTTGTAGGCTGTTCTCACAACACCTCCACATGACAATGCGGCGACGACACAATGGACTACGCTTCTAAACACAAACCTCCGTGTTGAGACAGCTAGAATTTTATTAGCATCAGGAACAAGGATTCAATTTATTTTTTTAAGCCATAAATTCTTTTTATGGCTCCCACCCTCTAAGTGATAAATCCTTATCTATGATTCAGAGTACATTACATTATCACCTTGTTCAGGGGGAAGTCCATTTCCTGTTTGCACAAACATCACATTTTATGGATAAAATTACAATCACATTTTTTTTTATGCTATCTAGAGTGAAGAGAAGATCTGAAGCTTCTTAACGATGTTTGGGGATAAAATTACACCTCGAAGGTCTATTATTACAAGAGGTCCGATGTCTTCGACTACAAGCAGCTGACTCACTGAGGCAGTCACAGGTTTAAAAGGCATTATTCAAAGAGAAGCGAGTGCAGCATGACGACGGAAATGTCAACGGTCTGTAAACATGGTCAGAAGGGTTGAAAAAGAACAACGTAGGAACGCAGTGCTCTGTACGAAAGCCAACTTGTTCTGCACAATCTCTTTTTAAGGTTTTTGTGCCGAAAGTGATCTTTATTGATAGTTACCAAACAAGAAATGGGAAGAGAGAGAAGAACTCTCTCTACCCACCAAGTCCAGTGGTTGGGTGCCAGGTCAGTCATTCATCCAGCAGCTTGTCATGTTTTTGAGTTAAAAATGTTTAAAGTTGACAGGCAATTTGAAAATATCACTTGATAATCATGTGTTATTGAAAGGATTGAAGATTAATACCAACTATAAAGTCTTAAAAATACAAACATTTTAAAAAGACTTAATAAATAAATTAAATAAATAAGCCATGCTTAGCCTGGTGAGGGCACAAGAAAAGCCTGGTGGCCCGCCAGGCTTATAATACACCTAATTGTCTCTCCTTTACATACAAGAAATGAGCCAACTGCTGGTATCAATATATCTATTTAACATATCAAAGCTTTCACTTAAAACAAAAACAAAAAAAACAAAAAAAACACAATGAGATCACTTTTGATATTTTTAGAATTTTGCTAATTTTATTTGGGTTATCAAAGTGTGAGAATCACACACTGATCAACTCCTACTACTTTTACTACCTCTCAAGTCCATTTCCTTTCCTAACTACATATAGTCTCTATTAAAGAGGCATAAATAGCCTAAATAAAAGGAATACTTTAGGCAAGAGGTGCATTTTTATTTATGGCACAGTTACACCCATGTTATACGAGACAGCAGAAGGCCTCCTGCTGTCTGTATTGGGAAAACGGAGGCTGGCAGTGACAACACTGTGAACGCACTCCATCCTTCTGTCACCCAGAGGTCTACACAACACAGAAGGCATGAATCAATATTGATACGGAGAGGAAAATATCTACAGTGGTGCCAACAGAGTGCTGGAAGACATTCATTTTGTGCTTCAACTCCAGGCACCAAGTGGGAAAACTGCTGGAAAAAAAAAAATCAATAATTTTAACATGTAAATATATAAATATATAGGCCAGAAGTGGGGAGGGTTTCAGCTCAGATTTTCTCTGGCTATTCAAATTGTGCAACGTGAGCCCCGCCCGGGCCTGTGGTTACTGAGGCGTGCTGACACTCTTTATATAATGCCAGAACATAGGAGAACATTCTGCATTTTGGCTCAGCAGCTTTACAAATTATTAAAACAAAAAAAAAATGCTAAAAATTGAGCAGCATACACCACATATTTGTAAATTCATTTAAATAAGAAGGTGCAGCATTTACATGTTATGAAAGCTGCTTTCTGTTATCCAACACAGCTTGTGAAACACCCCTACAAGAGAGCAGTGGGGATGACTTTTCTTTTGTCTCTCCAAAAAAAAGTCACATTTGCTACAAGACAAAATAAAAAGTGGTATAATGACGTTTTGTAAAAGGTAAGTAGGATAACTAAGTAACTGGCATCAATGCAGTACCTCAATAAAAAGCCTATCTTCTAAAAATAGAAGATATGGTATGAATAAGGGCCTGATAAGCATTATGAGACGCGTGCTACTTAGGTAACGAAGGACAGTGCGTCACATAACGAACCAGCAGAAGGGCGCCAACTATCGTTGACACGATGAAGTTGCACTAAAAGTAGGTCACTTCAGCTTTTATTGCAATGTATACAAGCGAAAGAAAAAAAAAAAGAAGTTCCATACTTACCTAAATCTACTGCTGCATTGTACCGCTCCAAAGCGTCCGCCAGGCTCTGTTTACTCCACAAAACTTCCCCCTCGATCCACATTTTCCTGGCTCTGCTCTCAGTTTCAAACAGTTTGTCCAGCAGGCCGCTGAGAACCACGTTAACTTTCGGGTCGCTTTTGCTCGGCTTCTGTTTACAGCTTATACAATCTTTGACGGCGTCGTCTTCCACGCATCGCTTGCAGAAAGTGTGCCCGCACTCCAAAGTTGCGGGCTCTTGCAGCAGGCATTTGCAGAGGCGACAGGAAAACAAATCCAGGGCTTCATCTTCTTCGCATTCCCCGTCGTTATGAGCCCCGTCCTGCCCGCTGCCGCTTTTAGTCTGCCCGTTTAGGATCACGGGAAGACCCAGTTCTTTCCCGCGGAGAGTCCGGGCGATGGTTTCCACCAGGACGGGCAGCTCCTCCGGGCGCAGCGTGCCCAGGTTGGCCGCTATGCAGTACGCCTCCAGCGCTTCTGATATCCGCCCGGCGCGGGCGAGAGTGTCGCCCTTCCGCAGACACAAGCCCCGGTCCGGCTGCTGGAGGTCTGCGAGCTGGGAGCTGTAGATCTCTACGGCCAGGTTGAAGTCTCCAGCCCGGCTGGCCTCCTCGGCCACCTCCAGCATTTCGGGGCAGAGCCCCGCGGCTCCAGGGTTGGAGAGCGGGTGGAGGAGCAGGTCGCCCTGCTGAGGCAGAACTCCCGTCTCCATCTTCTCTCCTCACAGTGATTTAAAAATATATATAACGAGGAGCTCAATGTGGGTCTGACCAAAACAGACAAAGTTCTCTACTATTATATTTCACTTTGTTCCCAAAATGTTCATTTAAAAGTTTTGATCCTAAGACAGACCACTTCTCTGGCTGCCCCGCAATGACGGCCATTGGAGAAAGGTTGAGTCTTTTTCCAATCTATGCGACATAAAAAAAAGAAAATCCCCAAAAATATAACAATAAATTAGAGTACAGGCAAAGGTTTCTCAGGAATTGCATTCTTTAACCACTCCATGTCAATCATGCGACCCACTACTAAAAAAGGAGACGAACAAAAACAGAAAAGTCGCACTTGTAAGGGGCATTAAATTGCCCCAGAGGTGTTTTGTTACACCAATACTAAATCCTTCCAGCTGAACCGAAGTGAAAAACTTATTCAGCACCTGGTCACGAGCACAAACTAATAGTTGAATATCAAACTCGTGTCCGATAATTAAGTTACCTGAACAAAATCAGTTTGAATTCAATAAACATTAGCTACAGATCTACGAGCCTGTTGTGCTTATATAAGACAGCCAGTGAGCTTTAGCTAACATAGATTAGCTAACACCGACTGCTCCTTTACCGCTCGCCGAACTCCTCAAACGAACTCTTTCAGACACAATATTCCCAAATCCTTGTCCGTTAACGACTCCGGTAATCATAAATCCCGGCGAAAAACCGAAAAAACACGAGTTAAACCAAAGGTTCCATCGAGGAGAACATCTTATATGCTGGCTAACTGTGTCCGGCTGCTAAAGCTGCTTTGGATTTCATATACAATTCGCCGAAGCAGGCTCAAGACACCACGTGATGCGCGAAAAGAGTTTCTATTGGCTCGTTATGTGGCTCACTTATATAACTTAATAATATTGTATAACCCTCTCGCTGACAGCAGAGAATGGCTTGTTTTTTGGGTTTGGCAGAATAAGTTGATAGTTATTTGTTGTGGAGAGGTTCCACGCGTGATTTTACAGCACGACACTTCTGGGAAAACCAGGAGAAAGCGTCGTGTTTGCTGTGGGTCACGCAGTTCGCCCCTTGAATTAGGGGCACAGTTGTTCTGGTTGTGGGCTTGATTTATTGTTTTATGTAATGTTTTATGTAAGCACAGTGTCAGTTCTTGTTTTGCTGTGAAAAAGCTGAAGACATATCGTGGTTATAGCTTTAATTTTTTTTATCAAAACCCTGAAAGTTTTCAAAACCACAGAAACTAGTTACCAAAACAGTCGTCACCCATATATGGAGTACAAAAAGTGCCACAATTCAATACATGTCAAATTAATATTTGTTTAAATAACTATTACATTTATGCTTTAGATAAATAAATAAATGCTTCTATAATGTATTATTTGTCAGTTTATAAAATATTGTTAAATAATTTAATTTAGTCAAATATTTTACAGTACAATGCACATTGTGGATTTATATTACCCATTAATGTAACACATCTATCAAACAAGTAGATAGATAGATAGATAGATAGATAGATAGATAGATAGATAGATAGATAGATAGATAGATAGATAGATAGATAGATAGATAGATAGACAGACAGACAGACAGACAGACAGACAGACAGACAGACAGACACTTTTTGATATTGCATATAACTGCTTGTACCTATTCATTGGATACATATTTACTTTAAAATAATAAATTATTTTAATTTTTGTGTTATTTTCAGCTTACTGTAAAATATCTGATTGGAAAGTCACTCATTGGTAAATATAATCTTCTCATTTTAATTTGACTAGATATTGAAAGAGTCCACAAATTTCAAACTTCTATCCATTAGCCATTTCTGAGGAGTCCAAATAGTGGACAGAATCAGTACATTGATATATAAAGTCCTTATAAGGGACTTGTCCCAATTCCTCAAAATAGCCTAAAGTTGTCACTGAATATGTGCAGTGGCCCAGTTTTTGTGATCTGCTGTGAAGTAAAACATTTGCCATTCCTCCCAGAGTTAGATATCATTTACACAACAGGCTAAACACGATGTTCTAAATTAGTTCTCATTTTAAACTTCACACACACAAAACTCGAGTTTTGGCTGATTTTTTAAATCAAAGAGCTTCTAGAAAAATCTTTATTCTTCAGCCTTGACTCTAAAGCAGCGTTTCCCAACCCTGGTCCTCAGACGTTTCCCTGCTTTAACACACCCGATTCAGATGGCTGCTGTTCAGTAAAAGCCTGCTGATCAGCCATCAATTGAAATCAGGTGTGCTGCAGCAGGGAAACGTGCAGAGCAATTACGCCTTGAGGACCAGGGATGGGGAAACGCTGGTCTAAAGGTTCAAAGGAGAATACTTCATTTTAGTGTGGGTAACATTAAAAAAAAAAAAAAATCTCTTTAGATATAAAAAAACTGCATGTGCTCACCAGTGCAGTGTTCACCCTCACTGCTTATGTGTACTTGAACACTCAGAGACTGTTTTTTTAACTATAAGAACTGCTTTTAGCCCCCTTGAAATGCCCTCATTAGATTTTAACAGAAGTCCTCTTCCTTTTTTTGTAATAAGAATGAGTCAAAAGTTGAAGAATCTGTCTTTTTTTAGACTGATATTTATTCATTTATTTTGACATCTCGTGACACTAATTGGTTTATGTTCCTTACTGTAGTTTAACACAGCTTAATCTCAGCAGTACTGGATCAGCACGTTTTATTGGTTATGTGACCTTTGTATGTCATGGTGGGAAGCATGAAAATGTAATAAAATAGTTGAACAGCTGGTGCTTGTGGCCTTGTTATTTCTCAGTGCTTTGATCACTGTTTTGACTGTGTTTGGGAGGGGGGAGGGGGGGATTATCACTGATGAACATTTGCTTCTTAATTTAAGCTTTTCATTTATGGACGCCCTCAAATTACACAAGCAAAACCCTAAACCTACACACTGTATGTCAGCCTGAAACAAGCAAACGCTCATATTTGTACAACTCATAGAAACTATAACACTTTTTTTTTCTGTAACATAACATTTTGTTATTCATAAATTAAATCTTATTTGTGCACTTACTCACTTTGTACCTTTAGATAAAGCACAGTTCAGTAAATTGTAAGAAATGGGACGTGCTGTTAAAACATAAAGCTCTGAATCCAATCTTTTCATAACCACTAATCAAAAACATTACATGTATCACAATTAAGCCATAAAGTTATGCAGTCAGTAAAGGAGAAACCTTACATATTGTTAGTTTTTATCTTCTTCATGGCCCTCCTCTCTCTCTCTCCCTCTCCCCCTCCCTTCCCCTCCGGCAGGTTTAATAAGTGCAAAGTTGTATAATTATTGCAAAAACGCTTGTGAGTCATTCTCTGCCGTGTTGTAAAAGCACCGTCTGTCCTATATGTTCTCTGACGGAGGGGAGTCTTCGTGTGGCTTGATAAGTTTGGACAAAATGGCTGCGTACGTCCAAACAGAAATTCATATTCATATCTGAGTGATGTCTGATGATAGTGAACTCTCTGAAACACCTGAGTTATGTTTTTTGCTTGTTTGTTTGTTTTTTTTCTCCTTATGAAACAAATTTCAGTGACTTACACAAACCTTTAACCCTGTTGCACAACTTCTGTAGTCTAATATTAAAATGCAGCAGAGCTTCTTCGGTATGGGGGCATAAGATTTCAGCGAGGGATCATTTCACAGCCGTCGGATCGCGTGGTCTGGATAAGAATGACAAAGGACATTTTCTACTTTCATTAGAAGAAGTACGACAAAATATCCCGAAAATATCATAGAAAGTCTCTGTGTCAGAGGGAAACATGTTTGCTATTTCGATAATACAAATCAGGTTAAATAATTATGAATAATTTATAATGATGATTACACACGGGTGCAAAGACACGCTTTATGTTTATGCTATTCAAATTTTGTGACTCATCCATACAACGTTCTGTATTTGATAAGTAGCTCACTGGTAATCTACTTACGGTCCACACTCATCATAGGAAACAATGTTTCCACCTTCCATAATGGATCACAGAGCTGGCCTGAGACAGGAGCAAAGTGCAGTTCATTGTGCTCCATGCTGCCAAAATTAAATCAAAATAAAGAGAATTATCTTTCCGTTGCGCTGCAGGAAAAAGACTCCGAGAATGAACTCCGAGAAGCTTTAAAGCCGAGTTCCTTTGTATAAAAAGGAATTAAAAAAAAAAAA